TTCACTTCTGTCTTCACAGCGCATCCAAGAAACTACAAAATTACATTATTAACAAAAGCAATGCTAGTTAGCTCAGGAGAATTATGTAAGCAATTAAGAGCCAGGCAGAGACCAAGTCCTACATTATCAGGACACACCCAGGCATTATGCAGCCACTTTTGTTTCACACCTCTTTTACTTGATTCTCTGGTATTTGTGATTAAGATACTGAATTCAACAGAGCAACAGACAGTACCAGCTGACAGTTCTGTATTTATCAGCTATAAATGCTGTTTGAAAGAGTGGGAAGCAGATACCTGGCATACCTATGAGATACAAAGGTATATTTCTTCCCAAGTAGAAGAGTAGATGTAGGCCTTTACCTACAAAGTTTACCATATGAAGACATTTTCTTTAACATTTGCTTGATTACTTTGGTTTGCATTTAATTATATAGATGGCTGAGTGGTTTTGTAATTTTATAGCTGGCCTGTGCTAGTAATTGATGTGGTAGTGTCATTCTTACTGAAGGCTGGTTTGGAAATGCATAGGGTTTGAAAAGCTGCTTGTATTTAAAGCCATTAGTTGCGATGCAACCGATGCTGTACTATGAATTAAACGAAAGAATGTTAAATAATGTTGGGGTTTTTTTGTGGACTTTACATAACTGTAGTATTTGCCCCAAGGTAACACTGGAATCGGTAAATCAATGATGAAGATTGTGGCTGACTTTGTGAGTTGTTCAAAAACATGAGCTTTTATATGTCCTAGATACACAAGTCATATACCTTCCTTCCCATTTGTTTTCATTAACGCAAAATGAAGAAAACTAGGTTTATTTTTAATCCAAAAAAATAATTCATTAACCCTTAGACTGACTGAACACTAGTATGTGAGAAAGGAAAATTAAAAAAACAAAAAAGCCCAACCCCTGCCCCCAATAAACTTATATTCCTTTCCATCCCTATTTCATATTTATGAATCTAAAAGTAAAGAAACTCTCACACTAATGAAATAAATCTATGTTATTTTCTGGAGGTAGAATGATGATCTTTAGCTACACCCTCCAAAGTCTCGAGACCTCATTATCTGAAAAACCATTTCTTGTCCTATTTCCATCACAACGACAACCATCTATGTCAGTGGAGCATCTCAGGCGAGTGACGATAGTTATATACCTTTGCCTGTAGCAGTTTGACATGGTTTAATTTTGGAAGCTTTCAAAGACTCTGTATTTGCTTGGACTATTGAGGTGGAGGGGTTGTTCTTACTCTGTTGTCACAATTTGGTTCTCATTTGGGATGAGAGTCGGTTCATGTTGCTAGACAAAGGTAGTCCATGATATCACTTAATTCTTCTATACATCTGTTTTCCCATATGCAAAACACAGAAATGGACTACATCCACACGAGATGCTAAACCAAAGTTTTAGAGATCCCACCAATTAGTAGAATCAACTCCTCTGTCAGTAGTGCTCTTATGTTCTCCTCTCAATATCTGCAGAGAGCCTAAGAAGAGGATTTGCAAAAGCCTTACTTAGCAAGCAGCAAGTGCTAAAAGCATAGCACATGCACACATGAGTAGTTTGTCTCCTTTTTCTTTTGCAATAGATAGTAGTGAAAGCATGCCTGAGGTCCAGAGCCAAATCCCTCTTCTTCCTGAAAAGGCTTGGTCCCTATGGAATACCATAAAGGAATGACCTGAAGGGGATGGCTTTTAACCAATAAGCCTCATTTACCAACTTCTTAAATATCTGTTCCTAAAAATGCAGCCAGTACTGAAAACAGTCAACAGCAAATTCCCTACTGCATCAGGACACCTAAAACATATTTGGACTGTAGACACCTAAAGAGTTAAATGGCTTTTTAGGGAGCAGAAAGAGAGGTGAAGGATCCAACTGTGGCCTCTAGGCTTAAAGCTGCAGCATGCATGCTGGAAGGCTTGGACTTTGCCTTAAAAAACATGGTAAATAGCATTTGACAAGTCACTGCATCAGACTTCAAAACTAGCATACACAGACTGGGTAGAAACAGTTCTTCCTTAGATGGTCATTGTTAGGCACAGGTGAGAGATATACGCCACTGAAGGCAGAAAAGGTAGAACTGCAAAAAGACCACAGAAGGTGGTGTTATTTTTCCTTTAGGGCACATTAAAACAGTGTTTTTTGCAAATACTGAGAGAGGGATCTGGCTTTCTCGGTACCCTTTTTGTCACTTATAACCAATATAAAGCAATAAAGCTTCTGATGATGATTTTGTTGAGGATTTGTGTCATACAAAGGAATTCAGCAGACTGCCGTTGTCAATTTGTCCCTGTAACAGACTAAAACTTGTTTAGTCAGTAAACAGATATGTCCTGAAGGCTGGAGGAACAGATCTATTGGGCAAGAATTTCAAGAAGGTACTGTTTCTACACACTTGCTTTTGAAGTCACAATCACACTTTTTTTTTTTTCTATGTAAAAAGGGCTGTAATGCTTATTTAAGAATTTCTTTGTTACCTTTGTTTAGATAGCACCCTCAACAATGTCACTAAATCATATAAGCTAGGTAAAGATTAGTTTTTACAAAGCTTATTTCATAGATAAGAAAAAACGAGGAAAAGAGAAGCACCTAGCCTATACCAAGAGGAAACTGAGAAGAGAGCTTAGCTCTTCATATAACCTGGTGCTTAACTCCAAGCTCATTGAAATCACCCCCAAAATCGCTGTTGACATTAGCAAAACCTAGCACAGGCTTCTTATCAATCACTGGAAACACACTCCCCAAGTTTGCTCTGTTGTCCAAGCCTATTTTAAATCCCTTCTTAAAAAAAACTGAAACGTTTCTGCTGTGCCACTTACAAGAAATTAGCCAATGAATTGGCTGTAAATGAAGAAATCATGTTTATTTTAGGTAATTTAGAGCTTTTAACTTGTGCTTGGGTGTGTAAATTCATGATCCTACCAGTACCATGTGCTAACCCCAGTAGCAACCCAACTCGTTGTTGCACCTAGTTCTTTTATCTCACAGCAAAGTAAACTGCTCAAGGAAACTATGTGATTTTTTTTGTAGTGTTGCAGTTTAAGCAGATCCTAATCTGTTTTGGAGATGAAGCAGTCCTAAGATATAAATAACCAGTGCCTCTCTCAAACAGATTTTCACCAATTCCTTCAGGAAACTCACAAACTCAATGTGGTTCACTGAAAGAAGTGTGAGTCATAGTGCCCAATTTGACTTTTCAAAATGTTCATGTGTGTGTGTATTTCTGTCAGGTTTGAGGATTCTGATTCAGTATACTGTAAAAACAGAATCCAGTTATGGAGTTTGGGTTGATATTCAGAACAGACCTCCCCTTGAGTCGGGGCCCTGACTCAGAATATCACTGAGAGTGATCTCGCTCAAAGCCATGTGAGTGACTCACATATTTACTTCTCTCTGACTCCCTCTCTTCTTCCTTTCAAGTTAAAATGTTGGGCCATTTTTCTGACATCAGCTCACTGACATCCAGCTATCAGCTGAAAGTCAACACAGTGAAATGATAACCTTTCCTCCCTGAGGTCCCTCCACTTCAGCGAATGGCACTTCCACGGTCTCTCTTGTTCTGCCCTGTAACATCTGCCCAGTAGCCACATCTCTGGAGCATCTCTGCCATGCAACTCACCACTGCCACCCCTGCAGCCACAACTTGGGCATCAGTGACACCCTCCCTGCTCCAGCCCCTCTTGCCTGTGTCTGGTAAACAGCATCCTGACCCCTCAAAGTGCCCACCGAGTGTGGTGAGGTGGCTCTACCCACCTCTAGCACAGTGCGGAGGTTCATCTTCCTCAGGGTGCACAGGGGTGGTCTGCACCTTCCCCAGCACCATCTAGTTCTCTCTCCATCCTCCCTCTCATACACGTAGGATATACACATAGGAGAGGGATGGAGCACCTCTCCTATAAGAAAAGGCTCAGAGAATTTGCATTGTTCAGCTTGGAAAAGAGAAGGCATCAGGGTGACCTAATTGCTGCCTTCCAGTACCTGAAGGGAACTTTAAGGAAAGATGGGGCAAACTATTTACAAGAGCATGTAGCGACAGGACAAGGGTGAATGGCTTCAAATTGAAAGAGAGTAGGTTTAGATTACACAGTAGGAAAAAATTCTTTGCTGTGAGGGTAGTGAGGCACTGGAACAGGTTGCCCAGGGAAGTTGTGGATGCCCCATCCCTGAAAGTGTTCAAGACCAGGTTGGATGGGGCTCAGAGCACCTGGTCTAGTGGAAGGTGTCCAGGGAGGTTAGAACTAGACGATTTTTAGGGTCCCTTCACCCAAACCATTCTATGATTTAATGACACGCCCTGAGCACTGCTGCTCTACCGGAAACGCTGCTTGCACACTCTCTCTAATGTCAGGAGGCTTTTGGTTTTGTTTTTTCCCCGCGTGTTTCACGGTGCGCGAGCAGAGCGAGTTCCTTGTGCCCGAATGCAGAGAGCCCTCTCCCTGCGCGGCCGCCCCGTCCGGGCCCGGCCGCTGCCCCGCTGAGCTCAGGGTTATCGTGGGGTTGTGAGTGAGCGCCGAGCAATGCGCCGCTCGCAGCGGGGCCTTGTGGGTAGGGGAGGCCGCCTGCGCGGGGCTGGGGAGCGGCGGCCGCGCCGGGCCGGGCCGGGCGGACCGCGGGGTGAGCGGTGAGGGAGGGACGGAGCCGGGGACGGAGCGGCGAGGCCGGCGGGGATCGCGGCTCCCGCCCGGGCAGCCAGCGAGCGCTGCAGAGGGAGCCGCGCTCCGAGCCCGACTCCGCGGCGGCCGCTCCCCCTTCCCGCCCGCCTCCCTCCGCCCGCAGCGATGTCCCGGCGGAGCGGGCACTGAGCCGGCGGCCGCCGAGGGACGCCCCGAGCGGGGAGAGGCGGGGGCACGGCGGGAAGCGCTCCGTCCCTCCTTCCCTCCCTCCCTCTCAGTTCTCCCCTCCCCTCTCCCCGCGCCCGGGCGGAGCAGCGGCCGTTTCCCCGCGCCCTTCATGCCCGGGCGGCGGCCACCGGCGGCGCTGCCCTCCGCTCCCGCCTCGCCGCCCCCGCCCTTCCCCGGGATCGCCGCCGCGCTAGGCCCGCCCGGCGGCCCCGCGCAGTGCCCTCCGCGGGCCCGGCACTAGGCGGGCCGGAGGATGAGCCAGCAGCCGGCGGGGAAGATGTCGGCGGCTCCCCTGGCGGCCGAGGCGCCGGAGCCGGCGGCGGGGATGCTCGAGGGCCGCCAGAGGAAGCTGGAGTCCATGATCCGCGACCCGCGCTCCCCGGTCAACGTGGAGAGCCTTCTGGTGAGGGACGGCCGCGCCCGGGGGCAGCGCTCGGCGGGGGAACAAAGGGAGCGTTGCCCTCGCCTCGGCCGGGCGGGAGGGAACGGGAAGGAAGGAAAGAGCTCCCGCGTCCTGAGAGAGCTTTCCTGGGGGAGGACGAGAGATCCTCTCCACGCCCCCGGCCCGGCCACCGGCGGCGGGGAGGTGGCGGGATCGGCCCTCGCCCCCCGGGGCTGTGCTGGGTGAGGGGACGGACACGGCGCCGTGAGAGGGGAACGAGCGCTTCCCGGTTAGGTACATCTTATTGTGGGGGAAGTGAGAAACGTCCCCGGCGAGATCTGACCGGGGGAGGAAAGCGCCTTGTTTTCTCGCCCAGCATCGTTCACACCGTTCCCTTTCGCGCCTCGTAATCACGGCGTGCCCGTCCCCAAAGTACCTGCCTTTGTGTGCGCTGAGGGCACCCATCGCTCACCCCCTCCAAAACGTCCTCTGGTAAGGATGAGGTTGCTGTGTGATGTGGAAATAATTCAGGAAAAGGACACGCCTAAGGGAGAAATGTAACTGGGGGGTCCTGTGGGGTCACGTTTATTTTCCACTGGGGCAAATTGATTCGTCTTGTCTCCTGTTTCAAATAGCATTTTTCTGTGTGAGTGTATGAAATATAATTTACTTTAGTAAGAAATTTGTGCCCTCGGGAAGAAGTGGGAAGGGAGTTAGATTTCCCCATTTAAAACATTCAAACTCTGAAAAGGCTGTAAGAGATTATTATTGTTGTTGTTATTATTATCATTGTTATTATCGTTATTATTGTCGCTATTATTTTAACTGAACTTCAGAGTCTTCAAATCTTATATTTCCAATGTGTCCCAAGATTTCCAGTGTGTCCGAGTTATGAGGAGCAGAAAAGGGGAGAATAAATCCCAGTCCTTCCAAGAGTTGCTAAAGGCACTTACAGTGTCCTTTTTTTTTTTCTCTCCTGCTTTCAAATAGCTCAGTTCTGTTTGGCCAAAAATACAGGAACTGACTGAACAGTATGTATGCCTGTGCTGTGTGGAGAATATAGGAATTTCCTATAACATCTGAAAAATGTTCTTCCTGAGGCTGTAGTGCTGTGTTGCTCCTCTTATAGATGTTCAGAGGCATAATGACAGCCATAGTCAGTGGAGGGGAGTGGGAAATAGCGCTACAGATGTGACTGGGTTCAGATAAGTTTTTGCCTAGGCCAAAGCAAAGAGAGCTGCCTCTGGGCTTCGCTCCCAGCATTTTCACTTTGGTATTTTGCTAGGAAAACTTTGACCTGTGGCCAAAAAAGAGAAGTTAAAAATAGTACAGTCGTTCTGAAAAATGCATCAGGTTAATACTTAACCCCAGTAGACTTTTTCACACTCTGCTTTTATACTCAACAGTGTGATTCTAGTATTGTCTCGCCTCTTGTACCTTGGACATAGATTAAATACACTGAAATATGTTTATGTTTCTGAAGAGAAATTCTAACTGCAAAATTGAGACTGGGTTGCTTACAACTTGATTCTGTTTGTTTGTTTGTTTGTTTGTTTTGTATGCTTACAATGTAGACCACTTCATGTAACACATTGGGCAAATTAGCAAACCATAGGAGAGTGTTAGTTGGATTGTAAATGCATTTTTAAGCACGTTTTAATGCTAAAGGTCATCACTTTGCTCTGCACTCCGTAAGTATTGTTTAAAAAATTAGCAGCAAGCAAAATCTAACACTAATCAATCAAATATCCTAGCTTGTACACTCTCTTTGTCTGTGTATTAAATAATTTACTGTTTATCATTCTTATTTATGAAATTTGCAGTGGATTTCCTGTGAAAGCTTTTTCTTTAGGGCTTTAGTATTGTTGGTTTATGCTATTTGACTTTAATTTTGCATTTGCATGCTGCTAAGCAGTCTGAATGTGAAAATATCATATTCATATTAAAAAATATATCTGTTTACTAAACAGCTTACTTTCAGTGTAAATTATCATAAGTGGAAATGTATTTTTAGTTTAAAGTAGAAATGCAGCAACAGAAACTAAGAGTCAGGGAAAACATCTTAAAAAGACTAGCTGGAATGCCACTATTTCATCTTCCAAAAATAACATAACCAAAACTAAAAATGAGGAATGGAATTCAAAATGGAATTCATTTCCTTACAGTGTAAAAAGTCATAAACAGCTGCTATTCTGCATTTTGTGTGCATGCTTTATTTTTAGGAAGCCATAAAAAGTGAAAAAGTAACTCTTAATCTACAACACATGGTGTAAATTTGAAAGCCGTGAAAAGCTGAGGTAATAAGCTGTCTTACTCTAGATAGCAGTTTCACTGCCTATCAAGAGCTGTTTCATTCAGTGGCTCTAAATGAAGAGACTTTCTTTGTGTACCTCCCTGGCCACAGGATGGCTGACCACATCCATTTCTTCAGCAGGAGAATCCATAAAGCCAAATACATTGATTGATTATGTTCCTTCCACCCCCCCTTTGGGGCTCAGGAGAGACCATTAAATTTTCTGATATGATTTTTGCTATATTATATGCATTAAAACTTGTTATTTATGCCTGTGTAGAGCATAATCGTTTGTGTGTGATTAAAGCCTATCTTTCAAATAGACATGCATTCTCAATTCAGAGGCATAAAGAGATGGAGAACTCACCATTTAGTTTGTCCTCATAGTTAGTTTTGAAAGCAAAATACCCCCTCCCCCTAAATTGAAATGTACAGTATGGTTGTCGCCATCCTTTTTCTGCTTAAAAAAGGAAAAAAAAAAATCATAGAGGACTTTCTACTCATTAGCATAGGTCAGATGTGCAGCCTGTGCTTGGTGGGGTTCTTCTGGTTTTGGTCTGATAAAGAGATGAAAATGGGAATGCTAGAACTGTATACTCTGTTCGGTGACAGGTTCCACCAAAACATCTACAAAGGGAAGTGGTTAGTGCAACCTCATTCAGATGTCAACCAAGTGCTCCTTTTCTCATTGTATTGTGTTGAAAAGCTGTTGTTAGGTTGCCTCTGCTAAGATAAATAACTTTGTTGTCACAGCTCTTACTCTTTTTGGTCATGTAACATTGCATTAGTGGTTATGAAAACCTGTTTTGTGTATTACATTTAGATGGTGCAGATCACTTTGTAAAGCTACCATATTCTCGCTATTTGCTTTTCTGCCAGCTGGGTCATCCACTAATTTAACAAAGTGACATTTTTATGTGTACTGCATGTACACATGGATGATAGCACGTAATGGTATTTGACCTTGGGTGATCTATAAGAAACCCATCTATAAATACATTCCTACTGAATAGTACCTAATTGACAACTACATTTAAGGAGAGCTTAATGGTTCTCAGATACATTTGTGTATTTATGTTTTTGCATATAAACTCCATCTACAGTATTAACTGAGTTATTTTCTGTAGTATTCAATACACATTATTCAGGGGTGCGTTGGCAAGTGTTAGCTGAACACTTAACGTGTTCTAAAACTAGAGCCAGATAGGTCACTGTAGGCTGTGGAAAACTAATCCAGACATCCACTTCCTTGCCCTGTGTAATTGTATCACTGCAGCATATGCTGAAATCAACTTTAGTGTTGTATGGTGGTGACGAACAGCTCAGATAAATCTTATCATCCTCCTCCCTGCAGTGGTCTGCCTGGGCCTTCTGCTGGGGCTCCAGTCAAGGGTGGTTGCCCAGAGAAAGGGTCTGGTGTCTGCCCCTGGACTTGTTTAGTGTAAGCCTCGGGATTTTAGTGTTAAACTTTGGCCTTACACTGGTGGTGTAAAATGTTGACTATATTCTACCTGTTCTGCTGTGGTTGCTATGTGAGCCTTTGAGAGAAGGAGCTCTTAAAACTGTCAATTAGACAGTGCAGCAGTGAAATCGTGAGCACAGTGTTGGGCTACACTGGGAATGCAAGCAGAGTGGACTGAGAAATGGAGAGATGATTAGCAGGAGAGTGCTCAAGTGTCTCACGATACACATGCCTTAGAACCTAAAAAATCCAAACCCACAAACCAAAACTGAACTAATTTGCCATTTATTTTTTGTTAAAATAAAGCTGGCAGGTAAACTGTGTGTTTCCACTAGTTTGAACATGAATAATGTTCATCTGTTTTGACCCTTGCTATTGAGACTCTGGAATTTTACTCTTAATGAAAAGTGGGTTGCAGATACAGCTGTGACTCTCATCCTTTCAATAGGTGCATCTGTCCATAACGATCTCATCAATTAAGTAGATGCCAACTTTATACCAAGAGTGTTAATTGAGCAGATCCCTAGACTGAGCTCTGTTAATAGGGGGTCTCCAGGTCATCATGGCCGACCGACACAATGTATCGTAGGATTTTGGCCTTATGAGCTTTCTGAGTGTTTCATATTTAACATGAAAGTCGTTTTGTTTTCCTGAATTTATTGCCGCATAGTTTTGAATCAGCAAGAGCAATCTGTTGTGTTAATTTGAGCCAGGAAGTATGGGGAAGAGCTGAAACTGTAGCAGTTTGCAGGATCTGATCTAAAATTTGTTGCCCAGTAAGTAGTCAGAAGGCCAGATGATTCTCTGTTCTTGAAGAAATAATCTTTCCTTGTTTGTTATATTTCTTGTGCTGAAATGTGTATTTCTTGTGTCTATGTTTCTGACTCTTTCTATAAGTTTTCTATTTTTGATCTGTAATTTTAGAGCATCTACTGCAGAGTTGAAAAAGATCATCTTTAAGGAAACAGAATTGTCTTTTGTTCATTGTTCCCCTCTGATGGATTTATATATAGCAGTATAGTTAGCTGGAAAAGAACAGTTCTATTTTCTGACAGCTTTACCTGTTCTTATATTCTGTCTTATTCCACACTAGTATCAAAGTATTTCACTTGAAGTGTAAGAAAGCAAAAAGAACATTTTGCTCAGCTTCAATACTTTTACTGCCATACAAGGTGCTTGCAGATATTGTGTATGTGTATTCACAAGAGGAATGTTCACTCCCAGTATTTCATCTGTATTGATCAGATTGCAGTGTGTCATTTGTAC